GGTGATATTCCACCTTTTTTTGTGGTGGCCCTGGGATTCAATCTCAAGGTCTTGAATTTCCTTTACTATTTGAGCCATGTCTCTAGTCCTTTTTGCATTTGTTGTTTTCCAGATAGGTCTAGCCTGGACTACTCATTTATGCTTCCCAAAGAGCTGGGCTGACAGGCAAATACCATAACACTCAATGTTTGTTTTTTTCTTTTCTTTTTGTCAGCTGAGTTTGAACTCAGCCTGACACTGTCCCTGAGCTCTTGTGCTCAAAATTAACACTCCACCACTTTGAGCCACAGCCCTGCTTCTGGTTTTCTGGTGGGGTTAACTGGAGATAAGAGTTTCATGGAATTTCCTGCCTGGGCTGGCTTTGAACCACAATCTTCAGATCTCAGCCTTGAGTAGCTAGGATGATAGGCATGAGCCACCAGCACCTAGCTATAACATTCAACTTGTTATTAGTTCAGATGGCGTCTCACTAACTTCTTGCTCAGGCTGGGCTTGAACTTTGATCCTTACCACCCCTACCTCCTGAGTAGCTAGGATTGCAGGCATGAACCACCTTATCATTTTTACTATATCTACTCATAAGAAATGAGAAGCTAGGGCAGATTCGTGCTCCAATGGAGGGGTTGCACACCGATGTGTCTACATGGAGGCAGATCTCACTGGAGGCCGGCTACCCTCTTCATCTTCCTATTCATAACAGTAACTATGGACTGATGGTGCACACTCAGGAGTGAGGCATGCTAATTCAGGTAAACTAAAACTTATAAAACACACTACTTTATAAATTGTGAATAAAAGACAGAGATTGGGCCACAAGGGAGGTCAGAGGCACAATTTTCTAAACCAGTGAGTGGCTCCATCTAGGCCCTGAGCTCCAAGTATATGCTCAGAGCAACTGTCAGCTGTTAGAAACACCAGCTCACAGAGCCAGCGTGCTGTGACAGTCAATATGACGCAACACACGTAAACACTTCTGAGTAATTGTAATACACCCTGGGACACCAGTAAACATTCACCATTGCACAGAGAAGGTCCAGCCATGTGTAGCTGCAGTTTATGGTAGAAGAAAATTGTCGATTCTTATCCTTGAACCAGCCTACCAAAGGAAGAAGGTAGAATGTGATTGCATCAAAACCAGCCCCTTCCATGCTTCTGCAGGGAGAAAGAACCTTAATTGATCTGGACCAGTAAGGCACTGTTTCAGCCTTCAGACAATCCAAATCCTATCTCAGTGCTCACAGATTATTTGTCTTATATGAAATCAAGCCCCACAAGTGATCATTTGTAGCCATTTCTGTACTTCTGACCTAACCAGGGGGGCAGTGAGGGTTGTATCAAAAAAACAACATGACTTTTTTGTTGCTGTGTTTGGGGTTCTATTTTGAGACAGTGTCTTGCTGTAGAGCAGTTCCAGGCTGGCCTCAAATATATAATCCTCCTGCCTCAGCCTCCTGAGTTCTGGAAATACAGAGGTGTAAGACCACTTCTAGCACAGCTTTACATATTAAGGATCCTTCTCTCTCTCTTTTTTCCCCCTCAGTCGTGGGGCTTGAACTCTGGGCCTGGGCACTGTCCCTGAGCAATTCAGCTCAAGGCTAGCGCCCTACCACACGATCCACTTCCTTAAGGATCCTTATGAACTCACAGCTCAGACACCAAAGAGGAGAGGTGCACACATTGATACTTTTTTAGCTTTTTTTCTGCTTTGATCTGCTATATTTATAATTTTATATTTATATTTATAAATTTATATCTATATTTATAACAGAAAGCCTTTTTATCTGAGTGAGTTAATACTGTAAATTATATTCAGCTAAGAACAAGAATAGCATGGTTTCATCAGCAAGTATTTGGTCTTAAACAAGGCACTTCGACATAAACAGTTGTTTTCATTTCTTTTCTTTTTAAAATTACAGTCAACTTTTCCTAATGCCAGCTAAAATCAGAAGTGTAAAACTTGGCTTTGTTAACTGGCCTAATCTGATCATGACTGAGCTTTATTGATGTTTGATTCTAAAGACACCCAGAATTAAAGAGTTTTTAACTATGTGCATAACAAAGCTCTCTGGGCCCTTAAATTAAGCTCAATGAGTATTTCCAAGAACTGTGTATCATAAAGAAAATTCTTTCAAATCAATTCTAAAACTAGTTGACTAAAGCATTCATTACTTTTTTTTTCTCTTTTTATGGCCTGTATTGGAGGCTCAAACCCGAAAGTATTGTTCTCTTGCTCAGTTTGCTTGTTCATAGCTAGACACTATCACTTAATCCAAGCCTCTAGTCTGGCAGTTTTACTACCTAATTGGAGTCTCGGGGACCTTTTTTGCTTGGATTGGCCTCAAACCTCAGTCCTCAGATCTCAGCCTCCTGAGTAGCTAGGATTATAGAGGCAAGAGCCAGCAGGGCCTATCCCTATGTTATTTCCATCTTCACAGGCGGTGGATAAAACAGGGAATGTTTGCATTATAGACAAGTAGGATATGGTGAAACCAGCACTAGAATTTGATCTCCTGGCCTTTAATCCTGAGTTCTTTACACTAAATACCATTCTGGAAACAAACACACCATCCTGGTTGTACTTCTACATGTTACAGATATAAAAATGCTATTTCTGTTGTCTTAGTTCTTTTTTCCATGCTGAATATTTACTAGAATTATCTCACCATCATGGTTAAGTAATAAAACCCAGTCAGTGTATCTGGGGCAATTGTCTTCAAATTTTCACAAGTTCAACACCTTAGACAAAACTTGCTCTGGTGATGGAGAACCAGAAAATGTTCTGGAAAAGAAAAAGTAAGCCCGGTTTACTTACAGGTGGACAGAATCATGGCTGTCCTTTTGAAGAGGACCACAAAACATTCTTCAGTTCTTCAGTTGTGTTCCACACAGCTTTAAACTGAAATCATAGTTTGCTCAAGACATTTCTCACGAGCAAAGTTAACCCCACCTATTTTCCTGTTCTAAAAACCTCAGAATGACAACATAATGGCCTAGATAAAAAAGCTCAAAAATCTCCATCCAGATCTGAAGGTAGCTTACTTCTCCTTTCTATATGTGTGGGTGAATCCAGCAAATACATTTCCAAAAATTCACCACATTTTGGTAAAAGGAATCTTTAAAAAAAATCATCAAACTGCCCTCTCTGGACAGAGAATGAAACAAAGAAATGAATTGGAATCATGCCAAGACCACACAGTTAATGTGAAGGAACAGAACTAAAGCCAATCTAAAGTCTAATAAGACCTTTAAAAAAGGTGAAATCTAGCAGAGAAACATGAAAAACCACAATAACAATGCAAAATGCACTATAGCATTTCACTTCATCCCCTTGGAAATGCAACTAAACCTTAGCTAAAAGAGCAAGTTAACACCTGAGAGTATATCTACATTGCCTTTATTACTTCCTTCCTGATAGATTAGTATGTCTTCAGCATTCAAGGTGGATTTTTTTTTTGTTTTAGGCATGCTTATGTATAAACGGTAAGTTTCAGTGAAAAAAAAACTGAAGATTTTTGAAGAAAATGTTCTCAAGAGTTACATGGTATTACCTACCTTGCTTTTCCATGAAAAGTTTTTATAAGTATTAATGCAGAACTGTACCTTCCCTCACTCTCTTCAACACCACTTAGTAGTCCCCACAGCAACTCAAAGTAAAAGGGAAGCTCAGGAGGGGATGGTTGGAGGGGACAGAAGTGGGGGGGGGAAGGAAGTGCAACGGGAGTGCTGAGGCACAGCTTGCATAGGACCAGCTCCTGGAACAAGCTACAAGTCCCGTTATAGAATCTATTTGTCATGGGAGCAAAATTAAAGAAGAGGAGGAGAAATGTGGCTGACTGTGAAAAGAATTGGGACAATTTTTTTTTCCATAATAAAGGATCCAAAGAAGAGGCCAGGCACTAGTGGCTCACACCTGTAAGTAATCCTAGCTACTCAGGAGGCTGAGATCTGATGATCTTGGTTTGAGGCCAAGCCAAGGCGGAGAAGTCTGTGAGACTCTTATCTACAATGCCCCACAACCGTCAAAAAAAAAAAAAAGAGGAACCAAGGATGAACACAGCTTGTGGCCGATGGGCTCCCAGGTACAAACTCCAAACCAAAGAGAAGTGGTTCTCCAGGGCCAGAGTGAAGACACAGCTCAGAGCAGCCAGCTCCCACCTGTGTGTGTGCCCAACAATCCATAGCAACCTCCAGAGGGGATGACTAAGAAGATATGTCTGTTGGTGACCACCCGCCCCATCCCTCCAGGGGCTCCTGAGGGAAGAAACAAAGGCTCTACCATCATGGGAGTCCTAGAGATTTTAAGGATGAGAAACCTACTCAAGTGGATGGCAGAGTCAACACTGAAGCTGTAAGACACAGTTCTTCATCCACAAATGCAAGTCTAGCCACATCTCCTGGGAACACCACATATCCAACTCTTTCCACAGCACCCCAGCCTCTTCACTACAGCTGGAGCTGGAGCTAGCCCTAGGTAGGGCAGCTTTTGTTAAGAGCAATCAGCTTGGGGCTGTGAAGATGGCTTAGTGGTAGAGTGCTTGCCTAGCATGCATGAAGTTCCTGGGTTCCATTCCTCAGCACCACATCAACAGAAAAAGCCAGAAGCAGCTCAAGTAGTAGAGTGCTAGCCTTGAGCAGAAGCAGCTCAGGGACAGTGCCCAGGCCCTGAGTTCAAGCCTCGGTACTGGCAAAAAAAAAAAAAAAAAGCAATCATCTCATCCTCTGTTCCAGGGTGGGTAGATTCTCCAATTAACTGTGATCACTATGGGCAGGATCACTAAGCCCCCAAACAGACCCCAAGAGGCAAAAGCAGGCATCCCCAGATATGTCTACTGGTGTGAGGAGCATAAGCAATGGAAAGACTTAGGATTTCTTTTTTTCCTGAAAGGAATATTTCATCCCCATGGGAAAAGGAAGTGACAGCGGATGGAAATGTCCAATCCTAAAAAGGCAATTTACACTACAGAATTAAAGTTTTAATTAAAAGACAACTCATGTTTCTTATAAATATATAACTTTATATATTAAATGTACTTACAATATGTACAGCATACAAATATTTTAACCTGTGATACTAAGAACAGGGATGAGTACTTATCCAAGTCAGGTTCTTTATTCACCTAGAACTCAAGTCTAGATGATGCTCTAGGCCCAGATCTCTGTAGAAACCCAAGGAAAGAGATGGGTTACTGAAACATGACTCCTTGCCTTCTCACTGGTTTTCTACAGACACAGGCCAACGTGGGTCTGTGTGCATCCCTACAATGGGCAAAGCCAGGGGTCTAGGCACTGTGCCTGATACACTGTACATATTCAAGTTCCTGAGGAATGCAGAGAAGCGAACACTTTCAATCACCAACTCTAAGTACCATCTTCACAGTCCGGAAGACAGTTACGGAGTTACAGTTGGTCTGAAAGAAAATGCCTTAGGCATTTCCAATTTATAAGTAAAACAATCTAGACAGCCAGGTGCCAAATAAGTTCACCAAGTGGCCTTTTCTCATGCCTTGGGATCTGGGAGCCACTGGTCCCAATGCTTATCTTCCAAAAGTTTCTTCACATTCAACTAGTTCATCTATTGTGCGCAGCAAATCTTCGAATGAAGGCCTTCCCTCTGGTTTCTACAATTGAAAGGCAAAGAAAAGCGGTGAGTTTCAGGATCCAATCCCATGGAAATCCTCACTGTTCAAACTCTTATACTACATCATCCTACAGACAGAAAGAACTTCAGACTGAAAAATGTGGGCAATGGTAATTCATCTATCTCTCTATGCTAACCTAGCTGGCATGCCCTGCTGCTTGACTGACAGATCTCTCTTTAAAAAAGAAAAAAAAAAGACTTTTTACTGGCAAATATTAGAGTTGTACATTGGACAAGTTTCCTTTGAACATTTCCATGCAAACAATGCATCTCACTCAAACTTACCACCTACATCTCTCTCCTACCTTTGGAAAACAATTTCACCAGGTTTCACTGTTCTACTTTCAAACATACATACATATACATAGACATATATAGTACTTCAACCATATTTTCCTCTCTGTTGCTTCCTCCTAACATTTCTAAGATACCACGTTGATCAAGTAGTATTAGACCTCTTCAGTGCCTGCAAAAATCAAGCCCTGCAGATCTGCAGAGCCCTATCTACCTATCATCTCTGTTCATTCCCACAAAAAGTCCTACCAGATGAGCGCTCTACTCTCTACTGTCACGTGAATGTCTGTAGTAATGTCTTTACATGCTATTCATACTGTACTCTCTCCCCCTTGTACCTCTTCCTGCCCAGTCTCTGTCCATCCCCATTAATGCTCCTGGGAGGAAGTGTGAGGAATTGGGAGCTTTGGAGTTAGGTGGCCTCTGCTGCTCTCTAGCTAACTGGTCCCAGGCAACATCAACCACAGGAAACCTAATCTTCTTGTCTATAAAGTGGTCATAGTAAAAACATCTAACCCCAAGGGTTACTTAAGGACTAAATCAAAGCATTTGGTACAATGCATTTAAATACAGGTAGCCTAATGTCTGCTTTTCAAGAATCATTCTGGTGCCTAAACTCTTCTGTGAAGTCATAGTTCACTATTTCCAAGTATGAGTAAACAAATGAGGGAGGTTGCAGTTTAGAGGAAGAAACCCTCTCTGGAAAAAGCGACACTTCAATCCCACAAGTGATCCACAGAAAGGAGGGGAGCAACTTCTCAGGCCTGGTCCCAAGTCACTATCTTAGGCAGCTGCCGAGGATTCCCACTTGGGAGTGAGTCCCAGCCTGAGCTGATTAACTGAATTACTAGTGTTTTCCACTGCTTCATATTCATCTTACATTAATCTGGAACTGAGATGAGAGGGCTGGCTTCTTCCCTAGAGCTTGAAATCACTATAAAATGTGCACCAGATGGGCAGGGTGGCTTACATCTAATCCTAGTTGAAAAGAGGCAGAGATCAGGAGGATCAAGGCAACCGGGGAGGGGGGGAAGCATCTCCCCATCTCCATCTCCATCACTATAAGCTAGCCATGAGAGCTATCAACCTATTACCCCAGCTACATGGTAAGTGTTAATATGAGGATGGTGATCCAGACTGGCCGAGGCATGAACAGGCCATGAAAACATTTTTCATCTTATGAAAAATAACTAAAGCAAAAAGGGGTGAAAGTGCAGCTAAACTAGAAGATAACCTGGTGAACAAGCAGGGAGCTCTGAGTTCAAACCCAAGATCTGATTAAAAACAAGACAAAAACAAAAAACAAAACACTACCAAAAAACACATACCACCCAATTCCATAGACTCTAAAGCCTGTACCGGGATCCATCTACCAAGCCCAACTGTGAATGTTTCAGCGATTCAATAGGAGAGCACAAAGAAGTATCTATACCTCCTGCCAACACCTCAGCATCACCTCATATATGTATTTAGACGCCAGCTTCGGCCGGTGGAGGCGGTGGCCTCGAGTAACCATGGTTACCACTTCATAATTGGTGTTCTTCTCAAAGGGCATTCTGCCTTCCGTGAAGACTTCCCACATCAAGACACCTGGAAAAGGACAAGGATTATCACATGACGAATCCACTTCCTCTTCAGAGCAGAAAGCAGGAAATGAGGAACAGGGATCTTACCAAATGACCAGACATCTGACTTGCTGCTAAAACGGCTGTAGTTAAATACTTCAGGCGGGCACCACTTCACTGGGAATTTAGCACCAGAAGAGCTTGTGTACTGATCATCCAGAACATACCTAGGGTGAGACATACCATGGACTTATACCTCTGAAGTACGATCTGTACTTCACTTCATACTGGTGATTTCATTATTTACCACTTTACAGTCAAAAACACAGTTGACTGAAGCCCAACATGCATCCAGCTGGAGCTAAAGGTTTAGCTCAGTGGCCACACCTGGTAGATTCCATCTTCCTCTTGATGCAAAGAAAGGGTGTAAGAGGGAGACACCTCAGCTACACTTAAATCTCTCTGCTCTTCTCTTTCCAGCTTAGGAGACACAGGCAGAATATAGTAACAATAGTCTGCTAACGTCCCATTGCAATTATGTTCTTTAGACAAAATGTTACTCTCAGCCCTATATATAAAAGACCTAAAGCAGAACTACTCTAAAAGAAGTGGTGAACGTGTCTAGAGACATTCATGCCCTGAGCCCCCATGGCTCTATAGAGCAGTTTTTAAGAAGCAAGTGCAAGAAAAGACAAGACAAAGCATGTAAATGGTGACATATACATTTACATACATTCTCTCCCTCTCAAAATAACATTGTTATTTCTCTGTGTGAACATATTTATGTCCCTCTGGAAGGACATACAGAAGCTAATAACAGTGGTTAGTTCTGGGACAAATCCTAGATTACAGATGGTAAATTGAGGATTTAAGCTTTCGCTGTAATGTTTGGTGCATATTTATAAGAGGAATGTATTTATATATTATAGGTGCATATGAAATTCATTCATTAAGGCAGCCATGAGAAGATACACAAATACATTCACAAATATCCTTTGTTGAACTATGGAGACAAAGATGGTGTCTGGCCAGCGCTACTACCTCAGGGGGCTAGATCTTTAAATGATTGTCAATCAGGGATATCTGAATTTAGTATAGGGGTTCACACACAAAAGCAATGATTTTCCAAAAGCCAAATACAGGATGATTGAACCTATGAAAGAAGGCTGCTTGTCAGGTATTGAACATTTTATAAAAAAGCAAATTAAGAGTTGGGTAATTAACACGTTGAGAGTGAGAAATAGACTCTAACACCCTCAAACATTCTTAGGCTTGATGAGTTTCCTTAGAAGCTGAGCTTGCCCCTGCAGGACCTGGTCCTTGTGTGGCCTTAAAACAATTTTTTTGGTAGTACTGGAGTCTGAACTTCAGGCCTTACACCTGCAGGTACTCTACCACTTGAGCCATGCCTCCAGCCCCCTTTTAACTGCTGTTAGTGATGTCTACGGGCCAACTCCCTGACCCTTTCACAGTCTTCTGAGCAGGTCACACGAATCTCAGATTTCAAACTTTTGCACTTGTCTCTTTGACCTGGAAACATTTATATCTAGATTTTTACCTAACTGGCTGCTCATTGCCTTTAGTCTCCATTCAGTGTTCTTATCTGGAAAAAGGTCCTCCTGGTTACCAGATCCAAAGTAAAAATAGCTATGTGCACCACCACCCCCATCCCAAAATATCTGTCTGTCAGAGATAGGCAGATTTTCTCTGAAGAGGGCCCGATAACACATCGTGTTCCACTGCACGCACAGTGCTGGTGACAACTCTCAGCTGTACCTCTTACGTGCAAAAGCACCAAGGCAGGTACAGGCTGTTATAGAAGGCTGTCTCAATAACACTATTTTTGTGAATACTGACCTAAGTTTCAGGTCATTTTCAGGTGTCCTGGTATCTTCCAGTTGCTTGATAAGAAATGTACTCATTATCTTGCCCATGTAATTGTAACCCCTCTATATGGTATTTTCACAATAAAAAAAAAGGAAATGAAAAATGTGACACCCATTATCGGTTTGCAGGACCATCAAAAAAGCTTAGGTCAGACTGACAGGTCACGGCTGCTGGCCCTGTGCGAACATACACATTTAGACTCAGGTCCGTGTCTCTCTTATCCCTAGAACATTCGCCACAGGTGGCAGGAACATAGATGGTTTAGTCTCTGCTGTGGTTCAGAGAGTTGTGTTTGGCACAACTCTCATTTCTTACATATAGTTGAATGATTGCACAGAGAGATAAAAAGGATGGAAAGACAAAATATTTTTAAACGTCTTTTCACTTTATTAAAACTACAAAAGAGAAGAAATGTACTGCAGACAGAACTGTACTAAGCTGTATTTATAAACTGACCGTAAAACATTCCTATGAAAACAAAAGATTCTAGAAATATAATCCACATTGAGGAGAAAACAGAGAAGCCACTAATTTAACAAGCTATATCTCCATCTAGTGGAGAAAATACTGCCACCAGGATACATATTTCCATATCCTAATGTCATTGGCCATTAATGAAATTCCTTCCTGCAAGTTATCATTGATGCAAATTACTTCCACACATACTTATTCTACAAAATAATGTAAACGTTACTTGAAAGAACATAACACTCAGCCATACCTGGCCATGCCAAAATCACAGACTTTCACAACTCCCGCCTCATTTACCAGACAATTTCTGGCAGCCTGGGGGGAAAAAATCATGATAGTGTATTAGGCTAAAAATCCCACAATACAAGAAAAATATGTCTGTTTTATTATAATCCAGCCAAATATCCACAGAGGGTGGAAATGTCTGCTTTTTTTTTTTTTTGGGTCCAGTCGTGGGCCTGAACTTTGGGTCTGGGTACTGTCCCTCAGCTCTTCAGCTCAAGGCTAGCACTCTACCACTTGAGCCACAGCGCCACTTCTGGCTTCTTTTTGCTTATGTGGTGCTGAGGAATCGAACCCAGGGCCTCATTCATGCAAGGCAAGGGCTCTACCACTGAGTCACCTTCCCAGCCCGAAATGTCTGCTTATAGATTATTTTTACCCCAATAGAAATGTCTGCAACATGTATTTGAAACAGTCTGCAGAAAGACAGGTTAGAAAACATTTGCCACAGGTATTACAGACATTATCGTTACCCATAGTCATAGTTAAGAAAGGTCAACTCTGGTTTTCCCCTCTGGTTCTACTCTTATTAACATATGTGAGGATTTGTTGTTGTTTTACTGATGGTGGTAAAATCTCTTGAAGTCCTTATTCTACGTTTTAGTAAGGCGAGCTTCAAAATACACAACCATCAGATGAGCAAGCAGTGATTAAGTCAACTCAATCCCGGTCAAAAGAACACCTGAATCAGGTGCAGTGGCTCCCAGGTAGCAGAGATCAGGAGGATTGCAGTTAAAAGCCAGTCTAAACAGAAAGTTCAGGACACCCCATTTCAACTAAAAAAAGATTGGCATATTGAGGTACTACTGTCATCACAGCTACACAGAAAGTGTAAGAAAAAGGACTGAGGTCCACGTTTGACTAGGCAAAAAGCAAGACCCTATTTGAAAAATAATAAAAGCAAAATGAGCTGAGAGCATGGTTCAAATGGCAGAGCACCTCCCTAGCAAGCTCAGAGCACAAAGTCTGGAGTTCAACCCCAGTACTACAAAACAGTAATAAATAAATAAAAATAAAACAGCTGTGTAAAAGTTTTTTTTGTTTTATCATGTATGGGATTTTCAGTACATTAAAAGAAGACACATCCAATTGGTCAACTACAAATGCAAATTACTTAATGTTTGAATTATGTATTGAATTCACATATTTAGTATCTCCCCAATTGTGAAGGTTACAAGATTCAAGACAATAGCTAGATAGAAAGACATAGTATTTTTAGAAGGAAAATATCATATTTTAATATATCAATATTTAATATTTTTCTCTTCCCAACTGTTCAGAATCCTATTTTCTACATGTGACAATTCTACTTGTATGAGTTCCCTTACAGCACATTGTTAAAAGTCTCTTCTTGTATGAGAAATAGTGACCACTCCTAGAGTCCTCTCTATCTTTCTTTTCTTTTTTTTTGGTCAGTTGTTAGGCTTGAACTCAGGGCCTAGGCATTATACCTAAGCCTCTTTGTGCTCAAGGCTAGCACTCTACCATTTGAGCCACAGCATCACTTCCAGTTTTTGCATGAATAATTAGAGATAAAAGTCTCACAGGGACTTTTCTCCAGGCTGGCTTTGAACCTCAATCCTCAGATCTCAGCTCCTTAGTAGCTAGGATTACAGGCATGAGCTACTGGCACCTGGCTCTTCTCCATCTTTCTATGAGGACAACCACAAAAGCCTTTGCTTGCCAGCAGCAGGATTCTTTTTGAAGCAGACAAAAAGAACACAACCTGCCTTCAAAGGGTGGCACAGATCTACCAGACTAATATCAATACAATAGGCATGAAACATAAAAAAAAAAATTGCTTTCACCAAGATATGGTCCTTGTGAGTATCAGGGTCAGATTCATGAAGAAATTCAATTTGTATCAGCTTGTTAAGTTAAAAAAAATAAGAGAAATCCAGGTGCCAGTGGTTCATGCCTATAATCCTAGTTACTCAGAAGTCTGAGATCTGAGGACTGCAGGGCAAAGCCAGCTGGGGCAGGAACATCTGTGAGTCTCTTATCTCCAATTAGACACCAAATAAACAGGAGTCGAACTGTGGCTAAGTATAGAGCACTAGCCTTAAGCACAAAAGCTCAGAGACAGCACCTAGACCTTGAGTTCAAGCCCCAGGACTGGCACCACAAAAGGATGGAAGGCAGGCAGGAGGGCGGGCAGGCAGGCAGGCAGGCAGGCAAGGAGGGAGGAAGTTGAGTCATGAGCTTCAGGATGACGACAATACTCTTTGTCATTATTGAGCATAATGCTACTGTATGTATGTGTGTGTATATATACATACATACATATATATATACATATATACATATATATATATCATGTCTACTAAGTCCTTTGTCTCAATTATATGCAGGGATAATTAAAGCAGTCTTATAAGCAAAATTGTAAGTTTTATAAGCAATATTGTAACAAGCAATTCAAAGAAGTGGAAAAAGGGTCTCAGAATGATTAGGTAACTATTCTAAAACACACATAGCAGGCCATCTTCCATTTCAAAATTCTCAACTTCCTATTATACTTTAAACCTAGAGGTAACATAACATTAAGAGTATTGACTCTAGAGCCAAACTCCCTGGATTCAAATCCTGCCTACTCGATTAACTTAACTGTTGCTATTATTTTACTCCATTTGCACCTGCTTCCTCATCTGTGAAACAGGAACAGTAATGATACCTCCTACTTACAATTTTTGCAATGATTCAGTGACTTATATTCAAAAATGCTTATTACCTATTTGAGGTGAATGAATTTTTTTTAATGCCTTGCTGCTACTCTAACATACTTTATCATCAGAACGCTGAAATTAAAATTTAGGGGAAATCCCAGAGGCAAATCCTATTTGCTCTGGTGAAAGGATCAAGGTAAAGTGATAGTGTTGCTGATATGCTGAAAATAGTCACATTTGTGAAGGAAAAATGGGAGGAAAAATAGAATAATGGAGGCGAGATGGAGAAAGCAGAATAAGGAACAATTCACCAATGTCCCCATCACAATAATTTAGAAAGTGACAGACTTCTTCTGGTATTGTTAGAAGCTGCCATCTTTCCCCAATGATTAATGAGAGAAGGAAAATGATTTCTCTAATAGTTTCTAATTATAGCATATGAAGTGAAAAGAGATTAGGATTTAGGAAGAAAGTCAAGACTAACTCTAACTTTCCATTCATCACACTTTACACTTTATGTGTGATGAATGGCACTTTATTTCCCTGACGCTAACTCCCATCTATAAAATGAGGATAGTAATAAATGTGCTCATGATTAGCTCTCTCCTGGGACTTTTCTGAAGCTTAAGTAGTTCATGTAAGAAAACTTGCCTGGAGATATTAACTCTGTAGACTGTCAAATAAATCCTTCCTTTAAACTTAAGAAGTAAGTGGCTTACATTTACCAAGTTTAAAAATAACAGTGAAACACTGTTAGCAACCAAAATTGGTCACTGCTACTGCTGAGCCAGTATTACAAAAGAATCTGGTGGGTGAGTGGGTACCAAGTCTCTGTGGATGAAGCTGTTTCTCTCCAGGTACTCCATGCCTTCACACACATCCTGACACATACTCAGCAGCATGTCTCTACTGAAATGGCCTTGTCTCTGTCGGAGGAAATTCAGAAGGCAGCCCCGTTCCATGAACTCAGTCACGATGTAAATTGGTTTCTGCTGGGTGCATACCCCATAAAGCTGTACCAGCTTGGGATGTGTCAGCTTCCTGGGGGGGGGGGGGAGGAAATGCATATGGCATTACTACAGAAAAAGAAATCAGCAAAACAGAAAGTGCTCAAATAAACAACCTCGTGATGCAACTAAAGCTTCTACAAAAACAAGAACAAACAAAAACCCAAAGTACTAGGTAAAGAGAAATATTAGAGCAGAAATCAATGAATTAGAGGCTAAAAACAAATAATACATAGAATCAACAAAGCAAAAAGCTGGTTCCTAGAAAAAGAAATCAGCAGGCGTATTAGATGGGGCCCTTCTTCATCTGAAACAGGGAGCCGGAAGAAGAGCTAGAAACTTACATCATGACTTTAGCTTCTTCTATGAAGTCCTCCTCACACATGGCACCCTCTCTAATAGCTTTGATAGCTACTTTGTACTGGGCTCGCCACTTGCCCAGCCTCACCACTCCGAACAGTCCACTCCCCAACTCCCTCATAAAGGTCAGCTCTGAAGGGTTAATCTCCCACTTCTCTGAAAGACAGAAGGGAAAAGTGGGAATCAGTGAGGAAAGAGAAACTAATCAAGAATCACCCTCAAAGTTCAGGAAGATACTGTAGTCATTACTACGAAACACAGAACAGAGGTACATCCTGAATCTACTATACTGCACAGGGGTGCTTTCCACCCTCTCTAAAGGGTGTCCCTTTTAAACTATCCCAATAAAAGCAGAGGAATTGAAAAGGCAAGAAGATACTGCATAACAGACTAAAAGTAACAGCTAAGAGTATGTGTGTGTAATTGAATTCAGGGCTCTCACTTGACTTTTTTCACTCAAGGCTGTCACTCTGCCATTTGAACCACACTCCCATATCTGGCTTTTTTTTTTTTTTCTGTTTATTTGGAGATAAGGGTCTCATGGACTTTTTTCTACCTGTCTGGCTTCGAACCACAATCTGCAGATCTCAGCCTCCTCAGGACTACAGGGGTAAAACTTCTGCACCCAGCTTCAAGTCCATTAAAAAACAACAACAACAAAAAGCACCTTTTATCACTCCTTCTCCTGAGTTTGTTTGTTGGTTTTTTTTCCAATTCCACCAAGTTAAAAGGAATTAAGCCTGCTATTTATAAGGCTTTCGTCAGAAGTAACAAAAACCATCAAAGTAATTTATTTTTTTCATCCTAGCACTTCACTTTCTGCCACTAACCAACAAAAACAGTGAGAACCATGGTTGAAAAGACAATGATTTCTTTTTAAATGCAAATGGTATTCCTTGTCTTTTCCCCTAGAGAAAGTTTCCTACTAAATTATACATACTGAGCTGTGCGCTGGTGGCTCACGCCTGTAATCCTAGCTACTCAGGAGGCTGGGATCTGAGGATCACAGTAGTTCAAAGCCAGCCTGGGCAGGAAAGTCCGTGAGACAATAATCTCCAATCAACCACCAGAAAACCGGAAGTAGCACTGTGGCTCAAGTGGTAGAATGGTAGCCTTGAAGAGCTGAGGGATAGTACCCAGGCCCAGAGTTCAAGCCCCCCCCCAAATATGTATATACACATTGACAGAAACAAAACCTAGGATTATAACAGCTATGAAGTGTCACTGAACACCCACACTATATACATAAATAAGCTTATTTTGTGATACCAGATTCTTATCAAGCAAAATTGCTAATACAAGCACAGAGCTAAGCTTATGTGATACAGATTCTTGTCAAGGAAGATTGGTCATGCAAGTACAGAGCACAAGTTACCATAGCTGAATCCCGCAGTGGTTGGTGCATTCTTCCCCTTTGTACTAACTGGGTACCGCAGCCTTGTGACAAGTCCTAGAAATCAGAGAAAGCCATGCAGTTGAACTTAACCATCCTATACATCAAATGTTAAAGTAGAAATGAAAACTCATTCACGAATTACTTTAGTCCTCATCTTCTGCTACAGACTTTCATTCATTCAACAAGCTTTCTTCCAGTGGTTGTCAAGCATTATGCCAGCTTCTCCTCTCAACATTCCAAAGGAACTTTTAAAAAAAGGATTAATTAAAGAACTTCTCAAAGTTATTATCAGCTACTATATCATGCTCTTTTTGAATAGGAGATCTGAACTATGAAAACAAATTGTGAGTCTGCTGAAAATTAAAGTGATTCACTTGATTCACTCGATGCTAGCGATCCTTGTATTAAAATTGGACTCTAAGATAACAACTATGAATATATCAGCTGCTGCCATTCAGTGAGGTAAGTTAAAACCTTTGCTTACAGAATTAAGGTAGAAATGAGAGGAGACTCTTCTATAAACATCCAGAACATTTTGTATTTCCTCTAACTAGGGACAGCTCATAATAATATGAAATGATTGTATATGACGTCTCTCTCCAGCAGCTAAGAGCAGCATCATTGATGGCCTAGTCCACCAACTCTTTTCCAAACTTGGCTTGGTTTCTAGAAGGCAGGAAACGCTAGCAGGCACTAAATGCACATTTGTTGAATGAATTGAGATAGGTGAAACTAAAATTTACATCAGATCAACTTATAGAAGACCACCAAAGAAAGAACAACAGAATATAAATACATAGAGCACTGGCCTTGAGCTGAAGAGCTGAGGGACAGTGCCCAGGCCCAGAGTTCAGGCCCCACAACCGGACCCCAAAAACAAACAAACAGAATATCAATACAAAAAAAGAAAGATCCAAAAAACTACCACTTGAGCCACATTTCCTAGTCCTTTTTCCTTTAGTTTTAAAAAGAGTTCTTGTGGTTTTTATGTCAAGAAACCCTGGGCATTTGTTTTCTCCTTTGTCGCTGTCTTTTCTATTTTTTGTCCTGTAAGTAAATTTATGTTTTGGGGGGAGGGTAAGAAGGGGCACAGAAATGGTGGGACAAAGGGTGAACAAATGCAGCAGTGATACTCACTAGACATTATGTTGAAGATGAGCTATACAACTTGTGGAGGAGGGGAGTTGGGAGAGAAAAACTGGGAGAAAATGAGGGAAGAGGTGACATTGTTCAAATGTAGGGAAGTAGCGCTGTGGAAGAGTGCTCACCTTGAGCTGAAAGGCTCAGAGACAGAGCCCGGGCCTAGAGTTCAAATCCTATGACCAACAAAAAGAAAGAAAGAAATGTAGGCTGGGAATGTGGCTTACTGGTAGAGTGCTTGCCTTGCATGCATGAAGCCCTGGGTTCAATTCCTCAGTACCATATAAACAGAAAAGGCAGGAAGTGGTGCTGTAACTCAAGTGGTAGAGTGTTAGCCTTAAGCAAAAGAAGCTCAGGCCCCTCAGTTCAAGCCCCAGGACTGGCAAAAAAAAGAAAAAGAAATGTACTTATTACCTGACATGTAACAGTAACCCCTCTGTATATCACCTTTGCAATAATAAAATACACACAACACACACACACACACACACACACAAACACACACACACACACACACACACACACACACAAAACCCTGGGCATGAATGTAACTGTGAGACTGTTGGGTACAATGGGAGGAAAAGAAAATGAAGGACAAATAATACCAGATACATGTATGTGTTTACATATGAAAATAGAATAAGGAAACTCACCGAAAAAGACTGAAAATAAGGGGGAGAAGAAATTGGAACAGAGACGATTTGTATGTATGAACTCCCTTGGCAAAATCCATACATTTAATGTACATTGAAAAAATGAATCACAGGAAAGTAAAACAGTGTCTATTGGAGGTCAGTGCCAATAGGAGGAGGGTCAATGGAGGGGATGAATGAGGGTGAATATGATACTTTATATGCATGTATGAAAACAAAACAATGAAACCTGTTAAACCTGCAGGAGGGAGAGGGGGATAAGGGAAAGAGATGGACAAGTACATCTGATCAGAGTCGATTGTGTGAATGTATGAAACAAACAGCTTGGTACAACTAACACATGCTAAAAAGTCCTATAAAAAGAAAGTAGGATACTTAGCATGATACAACAAATGTCAGATATATTATACTGCACCACAGAACTAGCCACAACAGACTGCATGATTTCATTCATATAGAACTTTCAGAAAAGGAAAATCTACAGAGACAGGAAGTAGGCTAGTTACTGCCAGAGGCGAAGATGGTGAAGGGGAACACAGGGTGAGTGCCAATGGTGTAAGATTTATGAATAACAATGTTATTAAAATTAAGTTATAACAACAGATGCTGGAGGGGATGTGGCCAAAAGGGAATGCTACTACACTGTTGGTGGGAGTGTAAACTTGTTCAACCATTCTGGAATCAGTATGGCAGTTCCTCAAAAGACTACACCTAGAGCTCCCCTATAACCCAGCAATCCCACTTCTGGGCATTTACTTACCCAAATGATCACAAACAAAGCCATACTAAAGCTACCAGCACAACTATGTTTATCACAGCATTATTTACCATAGCTAAGATATGGAACCAAACCAGATGCCCCTCAGTAGATGAATGGATCAAGAAAATGTGATGTGTGTGTATATATATACATAATACACATACACACACACACACACACACACACACACACACACACACACACACACACACACACACACACACACACTGGAATTCTATGCTTCCATCAGAAAGAATGATATTGCCCCATTTGTAAGGAAATGGAAAGTAAGTCAGACCCAAATTAACACAGATCCCATAGTTTTCCTCATTTGTAATAATTAGTGTATGTCTAGGATAATCCTAGCAGATGAGCAGAATAGCTCAATAGCTATGTACATAGATGATGCTAAGCAAAATGAACTCCAAGACATGGAAACAAGAGGTTTTACTTTGTTGTTGTTGTTAATATACTATGTGATTCCTTTTGTGTTTTTTTTTTCCTTTTTCCCCCTGTGGTTTATCCCTGTTGTCACTGTATTTGATTTTGGTACCCTGGGTATTGTATATATGTTTATCTGAATTAGGGAAGGGAAGGGGAACAACAAAATGGTGAGACAAAGGACAAAGGACAAACCAATGCAACAGAGATACTCACAAGACAATATGTTGGAAATGAACTGTACAACTTGTTTGGGGGGAGTGGGAGAAAAATGAGGGAGGGGGTAACAAGTTCAAGAAGAAATGTATTCACTACTGTAACCCCTCTGTACATTACCTTGGCAATAAATTTTTTTTTTAGATTATGGTGACAGTGTCACAACTCAGTAATATATACTGAAACCCATTGAATTGTATGCATTAAAAGGATAAAATTTGTGATATATAAATCACATCTCAGTAACTCTTCCTATCATCTGAAAAAAAAGTAAATGGATTCACAAAAATAACAATAGGCTTTTGCAAACCGTGTCTTTAACACACAAAAAAAATTAAAGCTGATTTTTCCTAAATTGGGCTAGGTTACTGGCCTTCTCCACATCCGTGAGACCTTTCTCATCTTATGGTTGTTTAACTTTACATTTATTTTATTAACACTCTAGTACTAAGAGTAGCCGAGATTTGTGAAGATGGAAAACCTGTGGAAAATGATTACAAGCAATCTGCAACTTACTATTGTTCATCTTACAATCTGTTGGTTTTATGACTGTGCAAAAGCCATATGCATTCGGTAGAAACAATATTTTGACTTTTGAATTGAGACCTTTTTTATTTCCTGGTCCAGCAATATGAGAAAGGATGCTCTGACTAGATGCTGAGCAGAGGGCAAGGGACCTCAGCACCTAGTCAGTACATGACCACAAGGATCAACACCTGCTACTCTAGAGTAAATTGGGTTGCTAAGGAAGGATGTTAAGTTCAGTGGGTTAAGTGTTTTACATGCACTTTGATTTTAGGATCTATTCAACTTGTGATGTGTTTATAAGAATGTAACACCATGAGAAATGAGGGCATCTTCTTTGGAAGCCTACAACATAGGATGGAATCCTAGCTCATCTGGAAGTTTCTGTGACAACTATAAAACAGACATATCCTTTTTTTTTTTTAACTTCTGAAATAGGGTGTTGCTATGCTGCCCAAACTGGCCTCAAACTCCTGGATTCAAGACTCTAGTCTCAGCCTCACAAACCATTGGTATTACATGTATGCTACTGCATCCAGCTTAAAATGCACATATCTTTCTGGGCACTGGCGGCTCACATCTATAAATCCTAGCTCTTCAGGAGGCTGAGATCTCAGGATCATGGTTCTAAGCCAACCTGGGCAGAAAAGTCCCTGAAACACTTATCTTTAGTTAACCACAAAACAAAGCAAAACCAACAAACAAAAAGCAACAGAAGCTGAGCTATAGCTCAAGTGACAGAGCACCAGCTTAAACAAGGGACAGTGCTCCAAGTTCAAGCCCTAGGGTTGGCATCCAAAAAAAAAAAAAGGATATCTTGGATTTTAGTTTAGAATAAGAATATAAAGCACAGAAATGCGAATGTTTGTCCCATACCATTAAAAGAATGCATGTCCTAAGATGGAGACGGGGTTTTGTGAAACTTGATATTATTTCTTTCTTAATTACAATAATTTAACAATCAATTACACACTACAATTAACTAGAAAATACAACTGTTCGAGGAAAAATTCATTACAATGATCATTTTACACTGGCTAATATTAGAAACAGGTGTTAAAAGCTCACTCACCTGCTGCATTGTGCTTATGATACTCAATAATCTCAGGAATTGAACCAAAAGCATGCTTCTCTGCTAGGTAATACTTCTTTGGAGATGTTGCTGTTTCCTTTATGTGATAATGCCTAAAGCCTGAGGAACCTTCCCTATAATAAAAATTGAACTGTTACAACCAAGCTGAAATACTGTTCAATTCACTCTTAGATAGGTGACCACAGACTTCCTCTGTTTGGCCCTTTCTATCCTCACAGCAAGTATATTTTCCCATTTTTCTTTAGAGCTTTCCTTTCATATTAACAGATAGAAATTTAGAAAGTGGTCACTAATAATATTCTTGGTCCCTTGCATGAGAATGAGTAAGTAAAAGAACATTCACCAACTCCATTCTGCCACAATACAAAGTCTTTAAATAGGCATTAGCTGTTGCCACTTTTTTGTTGTTGTTGTAAACTTGCAAATATTTACAGCACTTCTAAAAGTGAATTTAAAACTTGGGCTTATAGGGGCTGAAAATGTGGCTTAATGGTAGAGTGCTGACCTAAGCATGCATAAAGCTCTGGGTTCGATTCTTCAGTACCTCATAAACAGAAAAGGTCAGAAGTGGCGCTATGGCTCAAGTGGTAGATTGCTAGCCTTAAGCAAAAGAAACCAAGGTCCTGAGTTCAAGCCCCAAGGCTGGCATATATATATATATATATATATATATATATGCCCTTTATACACATTCTAGATACCTTCATAGAACACAGATCTCCAGTCATCTGCTGCTAAAAATGCTTATAAGGACTCCTTAATATGGACATTCATGGCCTCTGTTCCTACCTGTCAGACTGTATCTCCTCCCTTCACTCAGTCTCTCCTGTTCTACAACCCAGCTACACAGACTTTGTTTCAGGTCTTTGAATTCTCCATATTCTCTCACTCACTCCTGGGTCAAGCAGTTTCCTGGTCAGAAACAATCCCTTCCTTCCTAATTTTTCTGCCTTGCTCATGAGGTCTCTTCTGGATATTGTTATGACAAGATTGATGGATAAATTAAATGCACTCTTGACTATGCACTCTTGCCTCTCTCCCTCTCTCCCCCTCTCCCCCCTCTCTGTCTCTGTCTCTCTCTCTCTCTTACACACACACACATATACACACTACTCCCCCACCACATCACCTACTCATATACCATCATACCTGCCTATCCTTAACATGAAGCTCAGTGTGCAACAATTATTTCATGAATGTTACTGAAGTTTTTATAGGCATTCTCAACCAATATACTTTTATGGAGAATATTATTCAATATAAAAAATAGTAGATTATTAAGAAATGAAGTTTCTTCATTAACGAAGTTTGGGTTCTTTTGTTTAGAATTGTTTTTTTTTGGGGGGGGGTCCGGTCGTGGGGCCTGAACTCTGGGCCTGGGCACTGTCCCTCAGCTCTTCAGCTCAAGGTTAGCACTCTACCACTTGAGACACAGTGCCACTTCCAGTTTTTTCCTTTTTGCTTATGTGGTGCTGAGGAATTGAACCCAGGGCCTCATGCATGCAAGGCAAGTGCTCTACCACTGCGCCACCTTCTCAGCCCCGAAGTTCAGGTTCTTTAAATGCTGAAATACCGTTTTTTTTCTTCTGAAAACTAGTAATATATACAAACAATACAGGAAGTTCGTACAAAAATAAGCCCATTTTTAAAAAATAATAAAATAGCGCAGGATTACTTACCCTCCAAACTTTGTATAAAGAGAGACTGTGTACAGGCCAGGCTGACTAGAGTCCCTTACCATAAAACCACCTTCTTTATCCTAAAATCCAAAATAAAAATTCTTTTTTACTTCAATTACTAATATTCAAGATCTCCATCTGTACAATTTTATGGTGAGGTACAACTGACCACAGCTCTACCATCCACATAACCCTTTAGCTCATACTACCAGCTTATGAGATTGATAAATTCCCACAACTACAAATGCACATCTACATTACAGCCATCATTTCAACTAGAGAAGCTCTCAGAGCCTTCCAGAACTAACAGAGAAAATGCTTCACTTCCCTAACTCTGCATACATGGAACACAGGGGTTGAAAAAAGTGTTTCATTTGTTTGTTTAGATTCTTAAGACAAGGTCTCACTAGAGACCCAAGTTGGCCTTGAACTCTCAACCCTCCTGCTTCTGCTTCCCAAGTGCTGGAATTATACGAAAGAAACACGATGCCTGGCAAAGTATAATATATATTATACATATACTGTATTAGCTGTAACTTCTTAATGTTAGGCTTCATTTCATATATTTTTTTACATTTGCTATAAGCTTTGAATCTCAACCCAATATCATGTTCTATCCACATAACATTTTCCCTTCTGTAAATATCTTATTCTTTATAATTCCCCTGTCACTTTACTTGTTCTTCCCTATCTCTCTTTACAGTTCAGTTACAGAACAAGTAGCTAAACCAAGGAAATGAAAAGCCAAAAACAACACTAAATAGATAACGGATAAATTCTTATCTGATTCCAAGCTAAAGAGCAAGAAATAGGAACTCCAAACCCTAAGTAACATCATGTCCAAAATCTGGTATTTACGTTGTTATAAGAGGAAAAATGTGTTTCATAATTGAAAAGTCAAATTAATTTTATTCTTATTCATAAGAAGGACAATGGAATTAAATAAGGCCCCACAAATAAACATGATAAAAACAGTTGGGGACAATAATTATAATGGTTAATTGGCCAGGAAAAAAATACATAACAGCTATCATTTATTTGTTGAAAACCTATTCTGATGTAATTTTTTCTAATATGCAAATGTACTTAGTCCTAAAACCAGCCCTATGAGGTAGGTATTCTGTTATTTCTGCTTTCCCTCAGAGGCAAGGAAAGGGTCAAGGAAAAGGCAGATAATGTTCCCCAGGTCACACAGGTAGTAAGTGGCTAACCAGGATTTGGATGCAGAACGCCTTGCCACCCCCTGACCTACACCTGTCCCTCACTGTGGGTCTCCAGGAGGCACATTGGCATCCTGTGGGGATGGCCATGGGCCAAGAGTGGTACAGTCTGAAATAGCAAAGCCACCTGCTATTGCTTCTGTCACATAAACTACAGCTAAACTCAAGTTCTTGACTGGTGGTAAAATGCAGGAGAAAAAAAAATGAGAAAGAATGGATTTTAAAGACCACAAAGTATTACTGAACAGAATAACTAGATCATAAATGCAAGGGATTATCAAAATCCCTCGATTGTCACTTGTGTTGCTGATGGAAAAAATGGGAGACTAGAAAAGTCACTGCTTATGTGCATTTGATCACACAAAATAATACGTATTGAAATGAACTTCAGGAAATGAAAAGAAGTTCTTTTTCTTTCTTGCTGTTTTTGTTTTCCTTCCTTTTTGTTCTGTTTGTTCGTTTATCTGTCTTTGGAAGTGTAAGGGGAGGCACAGAAATAAAGGGTGAACAAATGCAGCCATGGTATTCTCTAGACACTAGTTGAAAATGAAGTATACAACTTAGGGGTGGGGATTTGAGAAAAACTAGGAGAAAGCAAGGGAAGGGGTAACATTGTCCAAAAAGAAACAGACTCCTTACTTGCTTTATGTAACTGTAACCACTATAATGACAGGAAAAAAAAAATTCTCCCTTAGCCCAGGGCAGATTCTTCTATACTTCCTTTTGTTCTTTTAACTTCTCTTTAAAGTGTTAGCATTTCAGGACATTTATATCTATAGGCAATCAAATGCTATTAAAATTTCCTCTCTCTAAACCAATTAACAGATATGGTAGCACGTACCATGCCTGTCATCCTAGCCCTAGAGGAAGTACATGGCTGGGTGTTGTACCATACACCTGTCACTCCAGTGACAGGGAAGAACAAACAGGAAGATGGAAGTTCAGGCCATCCCAGGCATAAAGCAAGATCTTATCTCAGCAATACCTAACCCAGAAAAGGGCTAACGGGCTGGCAGTATAGCTCAAGTGGTAGAGCACCTTCCTAGCAAGCATGAAGTCCATTCAAACCCCACAGGACCAGCATAGAAAAGGCATCATATAATATTAATATAAAATTTTCTAGAACAAGTAACTTCAAGCAAAAAAGTAAAAGAAATATTGCTCCTGTATAACTATTACCTACTTTTATAGGTGCATTATTATTTTATCCCTCCTTTCCATTCCTCCCCCCAAAAAAGTTAGGAGTCCTAAGCCCCAGTAGTTTGGAGTGTGATCATATTTAGAAACAGGTCATCACAGAGGCCATCAAATTAAAATGAAGTCATTAAGGTAGGCTGTAATTAAATGTGGCTGGAGTCTTTCTGGAGGAAAGCTGGATGCAGACTGGCATGCACAAACTGAAGATGCTGCAAAGAAACAGGAAGAGCAAAACTACCCGGAAGCCAAGAGGAGAGGCCTAGAAGAGGTCTCCAGACATAGCCCTCAGAAGAAACCACCCCATTGTTAGCTTGACTTTGAACTTGCAGCCTCTATAACCATGAGAGAATAAAACTGTGATTAACACCATTCAGTTTATGGCACATGGTGGCTGAAGCCTAGCGAACTAATTTATGCCATTAGTTTTTTAGGATGTATTAAGGAACCATTCAAATGAGTTTGTGCTGAAATCAAACCCCCTCACAAAATAAGTGAAACACTTACTTCAGTTTTGAGGAGTAGTTCTGCCTTGCTTCTATTTGTATTTCTGCAATACCATCTAAACAGAAAAAGATACCCTTAAGCCTCAGATTTTTCAAAATTATATTTTTTCAGTAAAGTAAATAAAGTATATAAAGTATTTAAAATAAATATAAAGTAATACAGCTTGGAAAAAACATATGCAATAGATAAAAACAAGACATCACTGGTAATCTCAATAGACAATTAGTAACTTTTTGTTGTTGTTGTTGATTTTGGGCCGATACTAAGGATTGAACTCAAGGCCTGAGTGCTGTCCCTTAGCTCTTTTGCTCAAGGATTGAGCCACAGCTCCACTTTCATCTCTTTGGTGGTTAATTGGAGATAACAGTCTCATGGACTTTCCTGCCTGGGCTGACTTTGAACATAGATCTTCAGATCTCAGCCTCCTGGGTAGCTAGAATTACAGGTGTGGGCCACTGGTGTCCAGCAATCTTTCTGTGTGTGTTGGTACTAGGGCTAGAACTAGAGGTCTGGGTGCTGTTCCTTAACTTTTTCTCTCAAGGCCAGTACTCTACCACTTGGGCCACAGCTCTACATTCAGTGGTATTTTTGAGGTATATGACTGATCATTTTCCCCATATTTTATGCTAATAACTATATGTGTCTGCATTTTTATTGTTTTAGTAAGGTGGGGTCAAGTTCTACTTGCTATATAATAATCTGACTTTGTCATGTGATAGCTATGTAAACCAATATAGTGTATCTTGGTGTAGAGGTGTCATAGTTTATTTAAAGCTATTTTTCATCATTCAACAAAAATAGCATTTTCAATGTTTCACTATTATAATCATGGCGAATGAATTTTATTCCACTGATTCAAACATACAGGAAATGTCCCTTTACATTCAAGATAATGGTCTTGGATTCAAATCAATCTAGGGGAAAGTACTGGATTTTGAATTCAGGGCCTCACATTGACTAGGCAGGTGCCCTACCACTTTAGCCATATCATGTTCCCAGCACTTTTTTCCCCCCAATTGGGAAACAATGCCCAGGATTTGTAGGTAACTTGTGAGCTTGTTCTCAGCTATCAGAACTCTAAATTGAATTTACTTTGGCTAGTCACCCAACACTCCAGAAAAACCAGGCTTCATGGTGAATACACGGAAGAGGGAGATGGGGGACAATTGATCCTTTCTGGAAAGTTCAGATCATGGTCAAGTTTCTCTGGGAGGATAGAAGGACATATGAAAAGATAGTAGACATGAAGAAAAACCAACCAGTGATAAATCTTGGGCTGCTCTCCAACTTTATTTCCACCTCCCATGCCAACTGCTCAGAGCATTTATCATACATGTTCTCCTATATGGGCCATTTACCTCTACCATCTGCATCTTTTAACAGTGACCCACTGAGGATACCCTCATCTTGCCCACCTAAGCAAAGCTGCTTCCTCTTCTGATCCTCTCAGAAGGATGAAGGTCAGAATTAGTTACTGAAAACCCTGGAAGCCATGGGACTCTCAGTCCTGGGTCTAGCCCACGGGCATTTGTGGCATAGGATTCTAACCCCCCACCATGAATCCAAGCAAAAGAACAGAACAGTGAACAGCTGACAGAAGTCCTTCTATATCCCTGGAGACAAAGAAGACATGGTACAGGATGGGCTGTGGCGAAGCCAAAACAAAGCAGAGCAAAACCAAACAAAAGTAATCTGACATAAAGCAGGAAGACAGAAAAGGGGACCTTTGCCTGCCCCCCACGGGGGACAGCTTTTCCCCCTGCCATCTGGCACAGAATGCTGAGTAGATGCCCACATGGAGACCACACACTAACAGGTTCAGAGTCACTGAGAGGAGGAAACTCCCTCATAGACATTCAATTTCCAAATGAAGATTCCATCCAAATCCTCATGGTGGTGAATGAGAAACTCCAGTATTAACAATCCTTACTAGAAATCTCCTGGGTCATAGGAGGAATTCTCATTGCTGGGGAAGGACAATCTGCTTTCCCAGTGTCCTCCCCTGCACCCCAGCATGTGATCCAGATCAGTCTTCAGTCCACTCCCATCACTACAAATCAGGCCCTTGTTTTCAACTTTTAGCTGGTTCTTTATTTCTAGGGATTTTACTATACTTTCCTAAAACGTATTTAAAAGCAAAACTTTTTTTTTGAGTACTTATCTATAGACTGTATAAATGCCTTACTTCATGACAAAGGATACTTGTGGAGAAATGGACGTCCATCCATTCCATCACTGCACAAATATCATGCATTCAGCATACCTCCTTCTACAACCTACTGTACAGCTAGGCTCTGTGATGCGGCCTACAACTAGTTCTCCCAGGCTAAGACCTGTACCTCATATTACTGGAATGGATAGTCAATTGAGAACACAACAGTAGGTATTTGTGGATTGGTACACATCTAAATATGGGAGAAATCCAATAATGTTAAGGCAACAGAAAATTTTCAGCTCCACCACAATGTGTGTGTGTGTGTGTGTGTGCGCACGCGCCCGTGCGCCAATTTTAGGAATTAAAGGCAGGATCTGGGCACTGTCCCTTAACTTTTTCACTAAAGAATGGCACTCTACCACTTGAGCCATGCCTCCACTTCCAGCTTTTTTGGTGGATAAGAGGCTCACAGACTGATTTCAAAGTGGGATCCTCAGATCTCAGCCTCCTGAATTGCTAGAATTACAGGCATAAGTCACCACCACCTAGAAGTCCACCATATTTTAAGAGCCAAAATATGCAGACTGTATTGGCTAAAAAGTTGTTAGATGGCACATGATTGTATATTGTTTATACTTCCTACTACTTTTTTTGTTTTGTTTTTGAGACAGGGTCCTGATTTGCACTATTGAATTACTGATATCACAGGTGTGTACAACAGACCTGGCCCACCTACTTCTATCATATTAGGGAGGGACCACAATACTGAGAGCTGTGACTTTGAACCTGTTAGTCTTTTTAGATTTTAAGGTCCTTCTGTAATAGTAAGTGACAGGGAAAAAGGCAACAGCTTGTTTTTGTTTTTTTTTTTGTCATTTTAAAGGCAGCAAATGACAGATACATTAATACATTATCTCAGAATGACTACAAGGGTGTCAGTATGTATGAGTTTACATATTTAATATACATGAGTATACATATATATACATATAATAGAGAGAGAGAGAGAGAGAGAGAGAGAGAGAGCGTGCACGCCTGGCTATGGACTCCTAGTAGGCATAGAAACAGCACAACTTCTCTAAGGTAATCTGACAGAAAGCACCAGGAATCTGACCACAACAAAATGAATACATGTAGCATTTTGTTAGGATGAAATTTGATAGATCTAGTTTAAATGAGCTACTACTTTTACACAGCAAAGGTACTACTTTAACTTAAAAAAGATAGTCACAGGAAGTGATTATATAAATTACTGGGTATACAGTAAATATGAGAGTACCTGACACAAGCAAATAAGGCAGTAAATACTTAATGCATTTATGACAATGAAATATAATACAGCTACAAAGATGTTTCAAAGCATACATTTTCATGACAGAAGGTATGTTCAATTATATCATAGTGTTAAGAGGGGAGACAAGATACAAAACACTACATACAGCCTGGGTCTAGTTTCTTAAAATGGTAAAAATGATGGGAAGAAAATACACTAATCAATAGAGGTCAACTCATTGAATTAGGAGAAATTTTTCTCATTACTCATTTTTACTATTTTCATGGTTTTTAAAACAATAATCATAGACTAGCTATACAATTACAAAAAAAAACATTTTCAAAGAACCATTCTGGGAAATGCTATTCCCATATCATGAATAACTAAACAATAATCTGTATTTCTAAATCAGTGGAGCTTTGTGAGGTTTAAAGTCATTCAATTGTATCTGCAATTCCACTGACAGACAGTACCTACATAAAAGGTATACTGTAGAAACTAATTCTCAGTTCTTCACCTCAGACAACTGAGTTAAAGATATGACGGCCCCACTTTCTAAATGGAATTAAAAAAATAAACAGTTATCTTCAAAAGCCTTACAAATTAAGAGAATGGAAACATTTTCTGGTTTTCCATATTTATAAAATAAACATTTACTTACTCATATTGATCTAAATTGTTTGATTTCTTTCCTGTTACATAATTACTTGGGATATACCCTTCACTCCTAGAAAGAAGAAAAGTGGTTTTAAGTACACATAAGTTACTTTATTGAGAACTTTTTAAAAAAAAGAAAAAAAGAAAGAAATATCACTGACTTTCTAGCCAAATAAAGTATTTTGTCAGCGTCTTATAAGAACACTAGCTGACCCGTATTCAATACAGTTATGTCATGTGACCCTACAAAGTATTTTATTTATTTATTTATTGGTGCTGGTCCTGGTGCTTGAACTCAGGACCTGGGCCCTGTACCTGAGCTTTTTTGCTCAAAGCTAGTGCTCTACCACTTAAGTCACAACTCTACTTTCATTTTTTTGGTGGCTAATTAGAGGTAAGAGACTCACAGACTTTCCTGCCCATCTTGGCTTCAAACCATGAACCTCAGATCTCAGCCTGCTTAGTAGCTAGGATCACAAGTGTGAGCCACCAGAAGAAATTCTACATTTGGTCCTCACAAAAATTGTGAGGCAAACAGACATTACTCTATCCATTTTCTGGTGGGGAAACAGGCTTAGGACAATTTAAATTTTTTCCTCAAAGTCCCAAAGTTGGAGCCAGAACTGAACTCTGGACCTGTGACTAGATCCAATGCACTTCCCAATATTCTACAATGCTGCTCCAGGATTCACTGTTGCTAGGGAGGTTTTAAAGAAACTACTACTTCTTATAAAGGGGAAGTGCCAAGCACGGATGGCTCACATCCTAACTACTACATCCTAGCTACTCAGGAGGCTAAGATCTGAGGATCACAGTTCAAAGCCAGACAGGCAAAAAAAAGTCTGTGAGATTCTCCACTTAACCAGCAAAAAGCTAGCTGTGGAGCTGTGGCTTAAGTGGCAGAGCACCAACTTTGAGTGAATATGCTAAGCGACAGCATCCTGGCCCTGAGTTCAAGTCCCAGTTCTAGGAAAAAGCAGAGTTGAAAGTGTTAGCCAAAGGCACCAGCACTCTAATACCTCAAATGCCTAGAGGCTGTTTCACAAAAGGTGGTCCCTGACTGCTTTACTGATACCATGGGGCACTTGTTAAAAAGACAAATTCTTCTGTCAAATTCCCAACACCTGAATTAAGAAGATCTTTTTTGTTGTTCTTAGTCATTGGGTTTGAGTTCAGGGCCTGGGAACTGTCCCTGAGCTTTTTTTAACTCAAGGCTAGTACTCTACCACTTTGAGCCACAGCTCTACTTCCAGTTTTCTGGTGGTTCATTGGAGATAAGATTTTCACAGACTTTCCTTCCTAGGCTGGCTGTGAACCTTTACCCTTAGATCTCTTGAGTAGCTAGGATTGCAAGCATGAGCCACCAGCACCTGGCTAAGAAGACTTTTTGTGGGCCAGGGATGACACAGTTTCCCCCCCCCCCCATATGACTCTTATGCCCCTTGCAATTTAAGAAGCATTCTTGTGATCGCAGGAGCCAATGTATTTATATATGTGTATACATGCCAGTCCTAGGGCTTGAATTAGGGCCTGGACACTGTTCCTGGTCAAGGCTAGCTAGCACTCTACCACTTTAGCACGAATCCACTTCCAGTTTTTTTGGTAGTGAGCGAGGGATAAGAGTCCCATGAACTTTCCTGTCCTGGCTGCTTCAAACTGTGATCCTCAGACCTTAGCCTCCTGAGTAGCTAGGGTTACAGGTGTGAGCCGTGGGCCCCCGGGCGAGCTTTATAGATATGAATTTGAATGTGAACTACTAGCAAGAGCTCATACACACACACAAATGCACACACACACAAATGCACACACACACACACACACACACACACACACACACGTGCAGCCCTGATATACTCAGACAGGCCTAGAAGCAATTGCAATTCAAAAGCAATTGGAATCCTAGCCTCATACTGAAGAACCATTAGGAGCCAAAACTCCTTGGAAAAATGTCAGACTGCAGATTTAGCTACAAAAATACACAATGAATTTGACCCACTGTACTGGGCCAGAAGGCTAAGAAAGACTAATGAGGACCTCAACCAAAAGCATTCACACCAACCTAAAATGGGGCAATTCAAGCAAATACTGATACACTAAAACTCAATTACCTAAGCATTCATAACACTAAAAGTAATTATTGGTTACCACAGTAACAAAAACAGAAAGCTCAATCATTAACTCCTGATTATGAAAATTGGTGAACGTTAAGAAACAACTTTGTCAGCCAGATTTTGTAACGTCTAAATATATGAATATATAATACACAAGCATTCATGTATACTCTTCCCAAATTTCAGGGCATTAGGATAATGTCTGCAGATGGTATTTTTAAAATCATTATTATAATAACATGATGGGTGAGTTTTCCTTTTTCAGTCTTAGATGGTGAGACTTAGTGAAATGACATGATGATTAGGGTTTGGGAAATCAAGTAACCAAATGCTGGTAATTTTTGAAGTCAAGTGACACTATTTTCAGATGCTTGAAAATTTCTACAGTTCAGGTTAGATATTTCTTTTCCAAAACTAGAAGTGTTTCAGATTCCTGAATTTTTGGAATTTGGGAATATTTACATAGGCTCCCAAACTGGAAACTTTCTGAGCATCAATAAATCATATCAGAGTTTGAATTTTTGGATTAGGGATGCTCACTCTAAAGTTTTATAAAAACTCTGAAGTTTTTATACTGTGTCTGACAAAGGGAGGCAAGAGAACTTTCTTTTAAACATAGAACCAAAGTTCTCAGTGGAGGTGTGGCTCAAGTGGTAGATCACTAAGCCTTGAGTAAAAAAGCCAAGTGAAAGCAAGAAGCCTTGAGTTCAAGCCCCATTCCCAGCACGCACGTGTACACACACACACACACACACGCACGCACGCGCACACACATACGCACACACACACTTAGACATTCCAAGAAGGTAAAAGTACATAGCAAACCAGACCCAGAAGTGACCACTTCTGAGACTCAAGTAGTAAGAGAGGGTCTCACCATTCCCTCTGTAGTTCCGGGTCTCCTTCTCAAGTTCACCTCTGGAAAAGCAGAAGATACCTCTGGGATGGGCAGGGAGTAAGAGAGTGGAAGGAGAGGGCTCTGGTAGGGCTAAAGTCCCCCTCTTCCACCTCCCAAATAGCTAGAACAATCTAATGTATTTTAGCTTCTGTAAAAAAATGATTGATCACTTTGCATTTATTGACTGACCACTGAGAACACATCATGATTTGACAAGAGTAGCAATGTGTTCTTTAATTTATGACCAACTGAACTAAGTCCACTAGTCTCATTAGAACTTGCAGCTTGCACACTTTTCACTCAACACTCCCATCTCCCCACAACCTGTAGTACACAAAAGAGGGAATTCTTACCCGTATTTATCTCTTGCTTTCCACCAGTGGACATCGTTCTTTTCCAATATGATATACTCTTGGCCTCTCTCCAGTCTGAGGTCATGTGCCTCTGTTGCCTGGAAATCATACATTGCCACAACTATTTCTTCACTATTATCTTCTTCTTCAGGTGGAATGGGTGGAGGAGGCCTTCTCTAAGTGAAGAAGATAACATTGGCAAATTCAGTGTCATATTCTGGGTGATGGACTTACATATCACCCAGAATAACAAAGCCACTTCAAGTCTACTAGGAATGACTTAGTATTATCTGGGGCATCCTCTAACATTTGACAATGTTGATGCTACTGGTCCTTATGTGGGGTATAGGACATGGAGGATGAGCCAAAACTACTCTTAAACATAATAAAAGGTGATTAGAAACCAGAAAGACCAAAGGTGAACAATCAATCCAGTGGACTGGAGAAGGAGATGAGCACATACTCATGGAATCTTTTCATAAGTCTCCTATAACTCAAAGGAATTTGTTCTTCTTTATGTCTACCATGTACAAGGCACATGCTTACTACCTAACAAACATACTTTACTTCATTTATTCTTAATATTACTACTATGAAGTACCGTATTATAACTATCATGTTTACCACCAGCCAAAAATATTTGTGTAAGATTCACAGCAGCTCAGGTCCTGACTGGGCACAAAGCACATTATTTCTCCCCATATGCCACTCCTTGGAAGCATATAATTAAATCTCTAATACCATTCCCTGTCATATTGGGGCCTCACATTCCCTGTCATATTGGGGCCTCAAGATTGAAATATTAGTCTGGTGTCAGTGGTTCACACCTGTAATCCTAGCTGAGGATCTCAGTCCAAAGCCAGCCTAAGCAGAAAAAAAATCTGTGACAGTCTTATCTCCAATTAACCAGCAAAAATCTAGAAGTAGAGGTGTGGCTCAAGTTGTAAAGCCTTGAGCAAAAAAGTCAAGTAAGAGCAGAAGGCCCTGAGTTCAGCTCCAGTTTAAAAAAAAAAAAGACTGAGCTATTCCTTAACTTCCTACACCTTCCATACAACTCCCTAAGCCAAACTATAAGCAAAATACCCCCACATAAAACCTACACAATTGGTATTGACACCAAGAACAATTAAGTAAACCAAACATATCTGCTTCTACAATAGTCCTAGGAAAAAACAGCATCTAGTGACTGAATATAAGCATATTCACTCACCAAACTACCCTTCTAAAATGTAAAGATATGAAGGCTAATCTAAAGAAGTAATTCCCAAAAGTGGAAGGACACTTACCTTTTTTGTTTCTGGTGCAGGGGGCAAGGCTTTTCTTATACCTGAAAATACCAACACATTAGTAAGTCAAAACACTATCTCACACCCTTAATCCTAGCTACTCATGAGGCTGAGATCTGAGGATTCCAGTTTAAAGCGAGCCCGGGCAGGAAAGTCCTTGAGACTCTTATCTCTGATTAACCACCAGAAAACCAGAAGTGGCACTGACTCAAGTGGTAGTAGAGCACCTGCCTTGAGCTGAAGAGCTCAGGGACAGCACCTAGGCCCAGAGTTCAAGCCCCATGACCAACCAAAACACACACATACACACCAAAAAACAAAAACCAAAAAAGCTATCATCCAAGGATGGATTAGAAATAGATAGATAATGATGATAGAAATATGAGAATGAACACAGGGACAAGGACCCATCCTGCTCAACACAGGGGGCCAGAGGAGGGGGTTTTAGCATCATGGTCTCCCTACCCCACCACTGCATAAACTGTGCTTTTAATAGTGCTTGCTGAACAAAAGAAAACAAAAGGGGCTGGTGGTGTAGTTCAGTAGTAGTGCCCAGCATGCTTGAGGCCCTGGATTCACTCTCCAGCAATTATGATAGATAAATAAGCAAACAAATAAAACAAATGAAATTCCAGTAGTCCCCAACCACTGTGTGTGGTTTCTGTGATTCTACTTTCTGTAGTTTCAGTATAAAATGTTAAATGGAAATGTTTAGACATAAACGATCTCTAAGTTTTAAACTGCATACCCCATTAGTCATTTAGCTATTGGGGTTATAAGATCAACTGCAGTGAGATGACCAGGCTTGTATTCAATCAACTCTCACTCATCTAAGTAATGGCTCAAGTATAAGAACAGTGATGTGGAAATGGGGTGTGCCAGAGAAGCTATAATGTGCTTCCATCTAGTGAAAGGCTAGAAGGACTCCGCTTAGTAAGTGGAGAGGTTACTAAGATCCACAGTATGATAAGAAACTGGGAAGGTGGCTCAGTGGTAGAGCGCTTGCCTTGCATGCATGAGGCCCTGGGTTCGATTCCTCAGCACCACATAAGCAAAAAAAAAAAAAAAGCCAAAGTGGCGCTGTGGCTCAAGTGGTAGAGGGCTAGCCTTGAGCTGAAAAGCTAAGGGATAGCGCCCAGGCCCAGAGTTCAGGCCCCATGACCGGACCCCCAAAAAAAAAAAAGAAAAGAAACTGGGAAAGACAAAGAGGGAGAAAGTGAGGGAGAGATCACATTCACACAATGTTGTACTAGTTCTATTTTATTATTAGGTGATGCTGTAAGCCTCTTCCTGTGCCTAACTTATAAATTAAACTTTATCGCAGGTATGTATCTATAGAAATAAAACCCTTGGTGTGTGGTGTGTGCATGTATGTGTGTGTGTGTGTGTCTGTGTATGTATATAAATATACATATAAATATACACACACATACCATATATAGCTTCACCTATCTTCAGGCATTCATTGGGAGTCTTGAGCAACCCCTATGGATAAGAGGGTACCTACTGCAATGACAACACTCAGAATTCAATAAGCTCTGACTCTTCCTCCAGTCCTAGAGCTTTGGCTAACATATGGCTACTCACAGTTAGGTGGATATGGGCTGGAATACTAATCAAAGGGTTCTATGTATAAATAAATGGTGGGCTGGGAAGATGGCTCAGTGGTAGAGCGCTTGCCTTGCATGCATGAGGCCCTGGGTTCAATTCCTCAGCACCAGATAAGCAAAAAGAAAAAAGCCAGAAGTGTCACTGTGGCTCAAGTGGTAGAGTGCTAGCCTTGAGCTGAAGAGCTGAGGGACAGTGCCCAGGCCCAGAGTTCAGGCCCCACGACCAGATCCAAAAAAAAAAAAAAAAAGTAAATAAATGGTGCATGCCAATTTTAGATCCTATACCAGAAAAAACTTCATGTGGACACCCTTGACCCTTTTCTCCCTTTCTGTGTCCAGAATGGGACACTGGAACTGGTGCAACCTTTGGGAACCATCTGTACAACTCCTACCAACCTAGAGAAGCTATCTATCTCTGGTTTTATTACGTGGGACAAAAATAAATTCCTAGTTTAAGTCATCATAACTTCTGAGTCTATTTTCTTTTTTTACACCAAATTAGACTGTGCATTACCTAACAGTAAATGCTAGGAAACTGAAAAAATTAGGAAAGAGTAAGTTTTGGTAACTTGATCCTTTCTCTTTGTTGTGCTAAATCAAAGCCTGACACATGCCAAAAAACCAGAGTAAAGGGACTCCCAGCATCCAGAACTGCCCCTGAACCAGGAAGCATCGGCCAAATGGCCATTATGCTAGTCTCCACATGCTCCACAGATTCTTACTGACACACAGAGCACAATGCCATCATGAAGAGCAGTACAGCACACATCATCTACAACAATAGCAATTTTTAGCCTCTTGGTATTTTTTGTATGTTTTTGTTTTTTTAAGAGAAGGTCTCTTAAAAAGGCCTTGAACTCATGAAAATCCTCCTGCCTCCAGTATCCCAAATAGTGGGATTACAGGTATATCCCACCACACTTGGCAGAATCTCTATGCATTTTTTACTTATGATTAAGGGCCTCTAATTCCCAGGATTTATAAGGGTCTTGGTGTCAAAATTTTTATTTGAACATTTACATAGAAATACCATTATGACACTTTACTATTCTGACAGACTATGAAGCCATTACTAAATGCACACCACTAAGACACTAAAACAAATATAACCAGTGTAATCTCTCAATCTGCAGTAAGTGTTGCTTGAAGGGTGGGTATGGTAAGTGATGCCAACATACTGAAGATAACTTCCCTTTTTAAAATCTAATTGTTTCTAGTGGTATATAGAACAGCCCTACAGAGATTATAGCTGCATTGCTATATGAGGTTTCCAGCTACACATCTGGGAACACTTTATTTGCTAACAAATACACAAACACTGAATGAAGAAAAGTGGCTGACTTACCAGATTAGGCTCACATTTTTAATAAGTTCATTTCTAATAGGATTCAATGTTGTGATGAAATCGCCCCGAAGAGAATGTTGGATTTTATGAGAGGGTCTCTCTACTGCCTAGTCAAATTATCTTTATAAACCACACATACTCTACATTTATGCTTCTCTAGGAGGTGTGCTGTACTTAATCAAAAGCACCTTTCTCACTATAACAATATATCCATTTAAACACAATATAAGAGAAGAAGATGAATACTTACTGCTTTCAAAAAGATTATATTTTTCACATCCAGGTGCTAGTTTTTCAGTTTGTCTGCAGCATTGATAACTTCCATCTGCCCAGAATTTAGGATGATATTTAATCATAATATTATTGTTGTTCTTTATTTCTGTAATTCACAGACACATCCACGGTTAGTGAAATACAGCAGACAACAGCATGTTTGGCAAGAGCCACTGTCAACCATCACTTCCTTAAACACAATGTTAATTATGAGGACAGCAGTGTGATGTTACACAATTCAGCATTCAGAAAAGCCTCTTTTACTTTTCTATGTGGTCAATCATACTTGTGAGCAGAAGCAACTGCTTCTACTCCCTGATAAATACAAAAGTAATTTCACTATCATTTTGTGCTATAGAAGAAGCAATGTGGATTATCAGGGCAAACTAGCCATTTACACACTCTATGTACATGTCCATTCATCCACACTGAACATTGATTACATAGGCAATTCCTTAGGAAAATGCAAAATCCTGTCATTATGAAAGCCCCTGCTTCATTACTTTTTGAATCACATATTAAATACAAGTAGGCTTTTCTTAGAAACTATATACCACTAGAAACAATTAGATTTTAAAAAGGGAAGTTATCTTCAGTATGTTGGCGTCACTTACCATACCCACCCTTCAAGCAACACTTACTGCAGATTGAGAGATTACACTGGTTATATTTGTTTTAGTGATAATGATATTGTACCTCTTAAAGTTATATGAAGATTAAAATAAGTATTGATTTCTATTCAATATAAAAACATAAGTTTTACCTTCTTTTAACTTCTTCACCCACCGGTCCCTACTTTGTGCACTAGGTGCAAAAATATAAAGTGTATTAGCATCATGAACAACCTAAGGTAAAAAAGAAAGAAAGAAAGAAATTAATGACAAATACATAGACATAGCACTTCTGTCTAACATAGGGTCCTTGATACAACAGGCTAGGCACAAGAAATGATTCTTGAATTTCCAACCCAAAGGATCAAGATTCCCCTCTTTCAAAAGATATCTATTTCTTAGCTATAACATCAAATGGGTTATGTCTTTGGGAAGGAATTGTGTTTATACTGAAGAAAAACAGATAAATACAGAGGTCAGTATGCTTTCTTAATCTTGGTATTTCTCTTACTTTAATGAACTAAAGTTCCTCAGAGAAACCTGTACAACATCAATTATCCTAATATACTCTTTTTCTAAATACTGTTTCAGATGAATGGATTGTGCTTTCAGCTCACTCCTACAGTCTCCTTTACAACTACTAATCATCATAGCTCTAGGCTGCCTTCAAGTCCTAGTATCCGCCCATACATCTACCCAAAATTTTGAGTCCAAAATCATGAGAACCACAGCACCCCTCCAAGTGCCTACCAACCTGTAATGATGTCTAAGAGCCAGCAGAAGGGTGACAGGAATGGTTCTTTGCTAAACACTTCTAATGAAATTTTATACATATGCACACCATTATAGATGCATTCCACATAATACCCAGGCCCATTCCTAGATGCAGGGGTTAGGTAGAGCACTAGACAGGCAGCAGCATAAGAGAAGCAGTGATAACGGTGCTATAAAAAGCAACTAACAGCATCCTTGATCTTACTACACATCTCAATGACTTACGTGCCATTTCAGTTAATCCTCACACCAGCTCAATCAAGTGATCACTATTACCATTATTTTCAGAACAGGAAAGAGACATAGAGAAGGCAGTGACTTACAGCAGATCACAGAGAAAGAAAGCGGCAGATCAGGTTGTTTGTCCTCAGTTTCCTCCTTAACCACTTTATAGTCCTGCTCTTCATACAAGAGAAGAGGCAGATATAAAATGAGGGAAGGGAAAAGGTAAGCTTGAATATAACTTTTCATTCTTTCATGCTGTTGTTCTTATAGTAGAAAATAACCCAGAGGTAGTTTTAATATTGAATATTCTAACTCACACTTTCCAAATAGTATTGATCCCCCCCACTCCACCACAAACAAATTGGTACTTATTTCAAGTATAACTGATAATTTTGTAGGAACAGTTAAAACCATACAAATTTCCACATTGCAGTATCACCTTGAAAGAGATTTCCTTTCAACTTTCTCTTGAGTCACATTGAGAAACAAACAACCTTGGCAAAAGCTGACTTTCACCTGAGATGTTCTTTGCTCAAAGGAAAGTGTAAAAATGCCTCCAACCAGGAGGGGAGAGATTAGGTGCTGGAAGGATTCCTGTGCGGCCTGACCTATCCTCTAGACCATCAGGGTCCAAATCCACCCTCCTGGGATCTTAGGACTTGGGTGTCAGGATTGTGGTATGACTATGGCATCACTCAAAGGCGGCCATATCCATATCTTCATTGGCAGCCAGGATAAATGTACATCTGTGGCTTGGTTGGCTTCTAATTCACCACATGACAATGGATGTGCTATCTTAACACCCGTGAGCCTTTCTTTTTCTCAATCATACATGAGAACAGTATGATATTTACCCACAAGACCATTGGAAAGAAAAAGTGAGATAGCATGATAACCTTTAAATATGCTTTAACTAACAGACAGTGCTATATAGCACAGCATTTCTATCTGAGACTGACACCACTTCCCAGCATCTCAAGTTCACAGAAAATGTCACCATCCTTCGCTTAGTGCCAGCCTTCATATCCTGAGTGTGCCATAATACTGTAGATAAGATCTGAGTCTTAGACACCCAAGATCATGGGTAGAATGGAACAATCAAAATGAGAACAGAATAATGTCTCAACAAAGATTTAAGCAATTTATGGAGAAAAATTACTATTAAAGTAACAAGTGAACCTAAACTAAGCCACCAAGCCAGTGATAAGAAACCACAATGTCAGAGAGAAACATGACCAGAGGCACAGCATCTCACACTGCAAGAACACAGCAGCTCACCTGAAACGGATATTTATTCTGACAGGGGATGACACCGTCATCGTTCTTCACTATTTCCACACACTTGATTTTTGAAATATCAATAAACCCCTTCCTGTATTTTTTCTGTGAAAAAAATATATAGGGAGAATCATTACAATGCAAAGAAATAAGAAAAATCTATTGTCTTTGTGCCAGCCCTGAGGCTTGAACTAAGGGCCTGGACTCAGTCCCTGAGCATTTTTGCTCAAGGTTAGCACTCTGCCACTTGAGCCACATCTCCACCTCCAGTTATTTCAGAGGCTAACTGGAGATAAGAGACTCACAGACTTGACTGCTCAGGCTAGCTCAAACCATGATCCTCAGATCTCAGCCTCCTGAGTAGCTAAGATTCCAGGCATGAGCCACCAGTGCCCGGGCTAAGAAGAAAAGCATCTTAATGGTTATATTTATTAATGAGCTTACTGATTCAAAATATTAAAATTGCCTAAAACATTGCCTAAATCACATCTCCCTTTCAAATTGTTCAAACTGTTCAAAATACTAATATTGTAATGATTGTGAATAAATTCTTAAATCCTTTCACTTCTGAGGACAAAATGGACTCTCTAGTGGTCTCCATCACACACATCTTATTCAACAATTTAACTCTTTGACAAGAGAATCAAAAAGAACGCATCAAAGATCCAAACTAGTGAAACCCCGTTCACTGAGTCATGGGTACAAAACTCCAGGCAGCTCCAGGGAGGACACAGAGCTCAGAGTGCTGAGAGGCAGACTGTCCAGATCCACGCCCAGGTGATCAAAGCTCTGCTTCTCCTCCCCATCTCTTCCTCCCTCCCGGGAGGAATTAACCACTGCACCTCTGAACATAAGAATCTCACATCTGGAGATTTGTTCTAGGGAGAAACCCAAAAGAAGGCAAAGCAGTGTGTACAAGGATAACATAATGTATCTATTCAAAGCTACTACAGCCAGGCACTGGTGGTCGGGTAGAGGCTGAGATATGAGCATCAAAATTTGAAGTCACCCTAGGCAGAAAAGTCTGTGAGACATTTAAAGTGGGAGAATGTAGACCCTGAGCTAAAAAGTCAAGGGGGAACTTGAGGCCCTAAGTTCAAATCCCAGTACCAGCACATACACAAAAAAAGAAAAGAAAAAAAAACAATTATAAATACAATATAGAAATAAAAAACATTTTGTTGAATAACATTCACTGATGCACTCCACAGAAAGTATATGAAGACTAAGGTACTTTTTTAAAAATTTGTATCTTTAAGTAGTTGTACAAAAGATTTGCCATTCAACAAGGTAATAAATAACTACAATGAATCTTGATCAATGTCACTTCTATCATCATATTCCCTCCCAAGCATTGAGTTGTATGACTGCATTCCCTACCCCTATTCTTCTCTTCATTTAGCTACTAAGTATGGTTGTTAATAGGTTTCATATGAATAGCAGAAAAGAAAGGTGAGAAATGAAGAACACTGCTGTATTGGGAGTGACCAGCCCTTTCCTGGACTTAGCCACTGAATACTCCGAATGAAATCACTACTCTGGCCACAACCTTCAGCTCTCCACCCGGGAACCTGCTCTGCATCCTCACTATCATCACCAGACTTGGCCCCTCTCCTGGCCATCAGCAGCTCCCTCCGGCCTAGATGGCCCTGGTTGTCATTTTACCAGTGCATTCTCCTTTATATTCTCCTGGCATGCCCCTGAACATTAGTCAGTCCTCATTTCCTCCTAGCCTTGTCACATCTGGCTGCAGAAAGTCACCTGTCCTCTATGCCCTAAGCCAGGCTCTCAGTGCAGCTGTTCATCTCCATGGAGACCACCAGCCCGCTAGCCCATCCCTGTCCCCACTTTCAGTGGACAATCTCCCTCATGACTTTCTGGAGAAGACACTTCTTGTCCCTCTCCAGTACAGTGGCACTATAAGATCTACCCCCCATTTCTTGTCTATTTCCTCCTGTCTCTAAAGAAGGTAAAAAGGATGTATGATAGTGTATGTTCCATAGGCTTGTTATGAGAATCAAATGAGCTAACACTACAAAAAAAAAACTTAAAAGAGTGGTCCATAGTACAAGCAAAAGATGTTAAGTATAGCTGGCATTTAACTGATGTATTCCATTCTATGCCCACAACATCCACATTAGACAGTTACCATGCTCCTCATGCTATAGACAGGTCAACCCATACACTTGAACTGTCTCCAGAGCAACTGGATCCTAGAATGCCCCAGCTGTTAAGAGGAGTCAGCAGGATTGGAAGCAGGGACTTTTTCAAGCTTCCAGCAGGACAGGAAGAAGAACATTCTCCCACTGGCTCTATTCTAAGGGCTTACTTTGCCTGTCTGAAGATACATTCCGTTTCCCCAGGCAAATCAAGAATCTTCCCCTTCCAGCCCTGCCTGCACTCTTCTTCCTTCCTGAAAGAGAAGGACTGCGCCTCTGCTTTCACTTCCTTCCACCTACTCCCGCCTGAACCACCTGCCATCCACACCCATCTCTGTCCCTTACAGCTGTTTCAGAAGCATCACTGATGACCAAGTCCAACAGTTGTTTGCAAGGAGACTGGGCTAAATCACTCAAGATTGCTAACAATCTCTTACTTCTTGTGGCCTAGACTTTGAGGCATCTTGTTTTTCCTTTGCTCCTTTCCTCTTGGTTTCTCAAACACCTGTCTTGTGTAGCTAACTATGCCAAGGAACTCAAGGTAGGGAAAGTTCTTTTCCTGTGCATCTGGTCCTAGGATTGAGGAGTTTTTAATCCTTGCTGTTACTCAGCCAGGTTAGGCTCACAATGCCCACCATAAGAGAAGAAACTAACTTGCCTGTGAGAGACACCAGTGCAATAATCATTACACGATGTAGTGATAACTGATTTTTTATATTAAAAAAAAAGATGCAACGAGAGCACAGAGAACTTTGACTTACCTGTCAGAGAAAGGATGGTAGGGAGAGAAATTCCTGCACAAGGCAAAGTAGATATAAAATAAAACATGCCTGTATGATCTCAGTGTCCTTCCATAAAATGGGAATAATGATAGCATATGTTCCATAGGTTGGTTACAAGAATTAAATCAGCTAACGCTACAAAAAGCTTAAAAGAATGTTTGGCTTTTAGTATGAGTAAGTACTGCATTTGCTAATAAATGGGAAAAGAGGCCAGTGTGCCAGCTGGATGAGGTGGTTCAAGCCTGTCATCTCAACTGTACAGTAACCTGAAATTGGGAGGATCGGAACTATAGGCCAGCCCAGGTACAAAAAAAAAAAAAAAAAAGTCAGTGAAACCCCACCTTGAGAGAAAGAGCTGGCTGTGGTAGTATGTACTTATCTTTCCAAATTTGGTGGAAAGTGTAAATAGGAGAATCATGGTCCAGCCTGACCTGAGCACAGATCAAGAATCTATCTCAAAAAATTGTAACAGAAAAAAGGCATGGCTCTAGTGGTGCCTGTCTGGTAAGTGTGACATCCTAAATTCAAACTCCAATACTGCCAAAAACAAGAAAGAGGGGAAGGGAGGAAGAGAAGAGAAGAAAAGAAAAGAAAAAACTTGTCAGTAAAGGACAAGGTACATAAGACAGAATGGAAAAGTGAGCAGAGGCAAGCTGTGCTTCATAGAGGTTGGGGTCTAATAGGCCACTCACCTGGCCTACATCAGCTAATGGACAGAAGTGCCAGAGAGCAACCTCCTATGAATAAGCCCAACATGTTCACTGTAGACTCTTACCTAATAACAGTAATTGTTTTTAAATACCCATCTCTACCCATCTGCCACAGCTACTAAAAGCATATGTCAAATGCAAGTCAACCTATACAGAAAAACGGGATAATTTTAATGCTGGGCTAACCTATGTACCCTAAAGTCATGCTGTATAAGAGATAATCTCCTAACATAGTAATATATGGACTTTCTTATGCAAAATCTCTTCCTATAAACTGAGTTCAATTAAAACCGTGCATCCATTACTTCATCTCATCCAGAAACAAACACTGATGAGACACCAAGCAGGCAGCAAGCACAGCACCACTTGTTGGAGTTTCCAAGTTAGGGAAGGGCACCAAAGGTCTCAAAAGAGAACTGCACTAATCAATAATATGGTGAGGGAAAGAGGAAGAAGAGGATGAGTCATAATCTAGCCATGACCAAGTGTGCCCTCTTGGCCGGCTTTATTTCTCATTAGGTGGTGGGGCAGAGATGGGGCCAGGAGACCTTGGAGCTCTCAAGGAGGAAGTGACCTCTAGATTTGCTGTTCAAAGGCTAACTGGGGGAGCAAAGAGTGCTCCAGGCTGCAAAAATGAAAGATCACTGGATATTTAGGGAACTGAAAAAAAGGGGGGGGGGACGGGATTCACTAATGACTGAAGCTCAGAATGGCTCAGGGGAAACAATGCCAACAAGGTTATCTGGAAGGCAACTTAGGAAGAGGCTGCAATGTTAGATTTCAGGGGTAGGAATTCTGCTAAATGAGGAGCTGTGGGGAGGCATGTTTTCAAGGTCATTATTAACAGCAGTGTGAAGGATGAAGAGAGGGGTGGGTGGAGCTGCCAGGAGAGGTAATGCAGTTCTGAATCACTGATTAAGAAAGCAGGGACTCAGAACTCAGAGAACTCAGTCCTGAAACTATGTGACCCCTTAGCTATAGGGTGAAAAGTGATTTTAAAAAAAAAGTCAGGCCTTGGGACTCTGAGTTTGAGTAGGCAGCAGACACGGAGCCCATGAATCTTGAGGGAACACAAAGGACAACCAGGTATGAGGAGCAAGGCTGGAAAGTGTTTGAATGATTACTGAACAACTAGCTACAAACATCCGCGAGAGGTTGAAAATCTAGGGATAGAACTTAGTACCTTCTTCATAGATAGAGAACATTCTGTTTCTCACAGGACACATACAGTAATGCCTTATTCCATGTACTTCTCAAAAAGATGCTGGAAGGTCAGGCAGGGCTAAGGAAGAGTACCTGGAAGGGTGAGATACTCAAACATAGTTACTGACAAAGCCAGGTGATATGCTGTGATATGCTCTTTTCACATCTGGTCACATCTGGTCTCAAAAACTTCATTCCATGGTCTACTTCATCTCTTTGCCTGCCAGCTTTGGGAGTATTATGAGGAACTT